CAGGGGGGGGGGGGGGGGGGGGTCTGGACCGAACCACTCCGAGCGCCCCGCGGGGGGGCCCGGCCGGGGTTACGGCTGGGCTGAACCACTGCGGGCCGGCGGGACACGGGGCACGCCGGGGGGGGGGGGGGGGGGGACAGGCAGGGGCGGCCCCCGGTGCTCGCGGCGCGTTACCTCCTGACGCGTCCGGTCCCCCCACGCCGGCCTCCGGACTGATGGCACCGGCACCCGCTGCGGCCGAGCCCTCCGCTTCCTCAGGCACCTCCAGCTCCATGGCGGCCGCGGGCAGGCGCAGCCCCGGGGCAAGACAGGCCCCGGACAGGCCAGCGCCCGCCGCCGCGCTCCTCCCGGGTACCGGCCGCGGCGCGGGGGACCCTGGGAGCGCCGCGGACCATAGAACGCGGGTGGCGCCGCGGCCAGACACGCCCCGAACAGTGCCGGAAGCACAGCGGGGCTTTTCCGCCGGAGTTAATTGCGATGCGGCGGAGGGCGGTCGAGATAACCGGCGGGCTGTGGGATTCGACGGGGGCGGGGAGGGCCCAGGGAGGCCGCAGCAAGCCCCGCCGAGCCCTCACGGTGCGGCGGCCGCGACACCTCCGGAGGGGGGGAAACACCACAGGGCCGGGGGCGGGGCCTGCGGTCGCCATGGCACCGGGGCAGGGCTCCGCGGGGGGCGGGGCCTGCCCGCCAGTTGCCATGGCAGTGGAGGGGGGGCTCCCGGGGGCGGGGAGTCTGCCGGTCGCCTTGGCAGCGGGGGCGTGCCCTGTGGGCGCCCATGATGGCGGGGGCGTGGCTCCGGTGGCGGGGCGGGGCCCCGCTGGGGGCGTGGCCGGCCGTGCTCGGCGGAGCGCGCGCCTCCCGTGCCGTCGGTGCTCGGTTCCGCCGCGCTCCCGGGGCCCTCCAGGAGCCTTCCCGGTGCCGGGCGCTGCCGAGCCGTCCCGCGCCCCCCTCACCCCCAAATCGTCTCCGAGACCTCCCCGTAACCGCACAACCCGCCGGGCTCGACCGGGCCTGCCGTGTACCGGGACCCGGACACGCTCCCTCCTCCCTGCGCGGCCCCCGCGCCGTTCAGCGCCGCCGATTCCCAGCCCAAGCCGGGGCCCGGCTCCTCCCGGCCCCGCGGCACCATCTAGTGGCGCCGGCCGGCCCGGGTCAGCCCTGGGGCGCGGGTCAGCCCGGGCCGGCCCCGCCGGTTCTCGGACCCCGGGGCCACGCGTGTCCCGGATGGGAACCCGCTGCTGGGAGGCAACGCTGGGGCCACGGGCGCTAATGAGGCTGCTCGGCGGCGCCGGCTCCCGACTGTGGCCGGTCCTACGGAGCGGCGGGAGCCGCTGCGGGCTCCGCGCGGGGCTCGGGCGAGAGCAGCCGGGGCCGAGGAGCGAGAGGCATGGCTCCGGCTCCGGGCTGGCGGCTGCGGGCCGGGGGCTTCCGCAGAAACTGGTCCCCGCACGCCGCTGCGGCGCTGGGCTGGGAGCGGTACCGGCCCCGGCGGGAGGCGGAGAAGCGCGGCGTGGACCTGATCGCTGTCAGCGCCGGAAAGCGGCCCCGCGGGACGAGGGATGACGGGGGCCGGGTCCTCAGGTGCGGACAGGGGCAAGGGAACGGGAGGAGAGGGGGCAGCAGCCGTCGCCAGATTCCCCCACACCTCTCAGGACAGGGATCCTAAGGCTGGCCCCCGTGTCCCCCTCTTGGGACAATGGGTAACGCTGGGAGGGCTTGGGAGGCTGGGGCAGAGTGCCACCGCTTCCCTGGACAGGACAAGTGTTGAGGCAGAGGAGCCCCTGTCTGCAGGGACCGCAGCATCCTGTGAGCCTGTCCCGGTGCAGCGCCGGGACGGCGATGAGTGCCGGTGGCTGAGGCACCGTCACGGTGGAGGACAGCAGGGACAGCCCTCCGGGAGACCTGCTGTGCCCGGGAAGCTGCCCCCGGAACCCCCTTCCTGCTCCTTCCCCGCTGCAGGCAGAGTCTGGGCCACAAAGGGTTACGCAAGGCACCCTGGAGTGACACCACTGCCACCAGCCCGGGAGCTCAGCTCCTTCCTGGTCGGATCCCAGGCTCGGTGAGTGCCTAGTTCTGTCCCCCGGGATCTGTCAGCCCTGCTTTCTGCCTTTCAGCCGTGCTTTCACCTGGGGAACTGGCCATGCTTTGTCTCTCCCTGGCTGGCTCCAGGACCAGTGACCCTCCCGGAGCTCTGCCCCACAGCAGGGAGATACCCCGGAGGATCGGAGCTCCCCGCCCCAGGGCTGGGGACGTGCCTCTCTGCTGCCGGTTTACGCTCGGTCCGGGGCAGCCCTTCCCAGAGCAGGGGGTCGGGATCAATCGCTCTTTGGGTGGGGTTGGGATGGAGCAGCCTCTGGGGGGTCCGGGACCTCAGTGCCAGGACCAGACAAGGGACCAGTGGTTTTGCAGCACTGGCTGAGAGCAGGTGCCTCGCTGATCCCAGGAAGGCTTTGAGGTCCTCGAGATGAGGAGCCTTATCAGGAGAGGGGGTTGGGAAGCATTATGGGTGGTGGGGTGGACTGTGTGTGTCACTTTCCCATGAAGGATCCCCCGACCCGTTGCTGTCCCCATGATGGGCGTTGTTGGTGGTGTCACCCGGGGCCAGGCACAGCCCCGAACTGGGGACCCGGCCGTGGGTTGAGCTGTCCCAGCACAGCTTGGCTTTGTTTGGCTTCAAAGCCCTGGCAAGTGCTGGCACGGTAGATGTGTGGGGCTCCCAGTGCTGCCGGTGTCCGGCGCTGGGTGTGTCATGGGCCATGGTCAGCTCTGCCCAGATACTGCCTCTCCCTGCAGGGCCATTCCAGGTGCGGGCTGGTTTCTGTCGGAAACCGGCTCAGCCGGCTCCTCCTGCTGCCAGCCTCGGCCTTTGGCTGCTGCAGGCCCTGCGCCAGGCCTTGGGGGAGACTGGGGACAGGGACAGGGCTTGGTGGCACCGTAGGCACGCTGCCTGTGCCGCTGGAGCTGCTGCCATCCCCGTGCTGCTCCAGCCACTGCCTGGAGAGAGCCACGGGCAGCAGTGCAACCCAAGTTTGTGGGACAGTAGTGGGAGCCAGCTGGGCACAGTGAGGGGCTGTACGGGGTGGCTCTGGCACAGCAGATGTCACCACCCTAGGGAGAGGGATGATCTGCCTGCTGCAGGTTGGTCTCTCTTGGACCTATAGCTCACACTGTGACACCTGTAGGTGTCCAGGGGATAGAAACAACACTGGTGAAAAAAACACAGCTGAAACCACCCCAGTGCCACTCTGGGAGTTCCTGTTCATTAACAACTTTCCCAGTGCCAGGGCAGTGGGTGCTGCCGCACTGGGGTCCTGCCCAGCCCCAGCTCCCCCCTGGTCCCACGTGTCCCTGGGTGGCAGGGAGGCACTCAGGCTGGTTTCGGCAGCTGGTGACGCAGAGGGGACTCTGCCCTCCACACCCGGGGCTGCAGCCTGCCTGTCGGGTGAATGATTACCCCAGGCCTCCCCCAGCCCTCCCTGGGGCTGCAGTGAGCTGGGTCTCGTTTCAGGGGCTCAGGCTGGTCTCATTTGGGGGCAGCCCCAGCTGCCTCAGCACTGCTCCAGCCGGGGCTGCCCAGGGATGTCCTTGTTGTCCTGCCCAGCCCCAGCTCCCCCCTGGTCCCACGTGTCCCTGGGTGGCAGGGAGGCACTCAGGCTGGTTTCGGCAGCTGGTGACGCAGAGGGGACTCTGCCCTCCACACCCGGGGCTGCAGCCTGCCTGTCGGGTGAATGATTACCCCAGGCCTCCCCCAGCCCTCCCTGGGGCTGCAGTGAGCTGGGTCTCGTTTCAGGGGCTCAGGCTGGTCTCATTTGCTGCTCCAGCCAGGGCTGCCCAGGGATGTCCTTGTGCCAGGGCTGTGCTGCCTCACTTCCCAGGGCTGTGCTGCCCACTGCCAGATCCCTGATGTGGCATCACCCCGGCATTGCCCACGAGGTGTCTCTGTCCCACCAAAGCTGCCCCGTGGCCAGTTCCCAAAAGGCCTGTGGAGGTTTTGAGCTCCCTGTGGGCAGTGTGGGCATCCCTGGCAGGGCTGAGGGTGTCTGAGCTGTGTCGGGGGCTGTTAGGAATGAGCACAGCCCCCACACAGCCACTCCAGAGCCCTCAGACACCACAGCCGTGTGGTGCCATGGGAACTGAGGGTGTGCAGTTTGGAGAAGGGTGCTCAGGGGACCTCATTGCTCTCCCAAAATGAGATTATAGTGAGGTGGGGATCAGCCTCTTCTGCCAAGTGTCAGGACCAGAGGAAATGGCCTCAAACTGTACCAACAGAGGTTCAGATTAGATACTAGATAATTCTTTTCACTGAAAGAGTGGTCAGGCAAAGGAATAAGTTGTCCAGAGAGGTGCTGGAGTCATCATCCCTGGAAGCATTCAAGAGGCATCTGGATGAGGCACTGGGGAACATGGTTTAGGGGTGATTATGGTGGTGTTGGAGTGACAATTGGATTTGATGATCTTGAAGGCTTCTTCCTGCCTTGATGATTTTGTGATTCTGTGAAGCCCTAATCAAAGTGGCCTGTCCCTGTCCCACCCCTCGGGAACTGGTGGCAGGCTCTGGTCCTGCTGTCTCCCACCATCTTGGGAACCCGTGTCTCTCTGGGTTCATGCTGACATTACCTACAGGGAACCAGGAGCTGGTGGAGATCCCTGGGCCCATCCCAGAAGCTTCAGCCTCAAAGGGATGTTATTCTGTCAGTCAGGCTTGTCTGCCTTGGGTGGAAAACATTGGATTTGGGGAAAACCAGAGAAACCAAATAGTGAAACTGGGGCAGTGATGCTACCAAACCAGCTGGCAGAGCTGCCAAAGCCCAGTGGACAGGCACTAAAACACCATCCAGAGCAGCACCCCAAGGCCTGCCAGCTTCAGGAGGACCGGGGGCAGTCAGACCACGAGGATGGGATGGACAGTGGGTCCCAGCCATGGAGATGAGGCCTATGCTTGTCCTGTGTAAAACCCCCCTTCCATGGACCCATGTGTGAGGGGATGGAGATGGATCCCCCGGGGGTGATTTCATGGTGCACAGAGGCTGCTCTGGCTTCAGAGCCATGCAGGGTTAGCTGGGGTGTGCCACAGCTGCCAGTCCCAGTGCCCTGCCCCGTGGGGCTCTGTCCCCTGCAGCCTCACAGTCCCTGGTGCTTGTGGCTCAGTTGTGCTGCTGCTCCTTGTTGCAGCCTGATGTTGGATTGAGGAAGGGGCCAGCGGCTGGGAAGAGGAGCCAGAGCCAGTCAGAGCCCCCCAGCCGTGGGGCTGCCACCGTGACTGTCCCCGGCTTGTGCTGGTGGGTGCCCACCATGGAGGAGATGGTGATCTGGGAGCAGCACACGGTGACACTGAGCAAGGTGAGTGTCTCCTGGGGTGGCCCCACTGTGGGAGGGGATGGGGTCTGTGAGGTCAACTCTGCCTGACCCCC